GGGGTGGGTGTGTGTGTGTGGGGAGGTGGCGTGTGTGTGTGTGTGTGTGTGTGTGTGTGTGTGTGTGTGGGTATGATTTAAAGAGGAGATTTATCAGCAGATATTTATTAAAGGGCGATATAAAAAAGCACCCCGGGAGCCACTGACCCAGCAGAGGGGAGTGTAAACGTGGCTCCTGCTGAGCTCCACGCCCGAGGAAAGGAGCAACCTGTGCTGTGCCCCCAGGGGAGGCGGACACACACCTGCCCGGCCTGTCTCACCTGCACCCCCCACGCCGCGCGCTGCCTCAGCCCCCCAATAACCCGCATTTATAAGCCTCAGCAGGTCCCCGCCGAGCAGGACGTGGCGTCCTGGGGCGCGCTCCTCGCAGCCGGGTGCCTCCCTCCAGTACCCCACCGGCGGCCGAGGGCGAGCACCCCCCACCCCGAGCACCCCCCCCCGCGCCCACGGGAGCTCGTGGGCCCCAGCCACCCGGGTAGGGCGCTGCGGCCATTTCAGACCCCGGGCTCTGCTCAGGCGCCTCGGGCTTCGCGCAAAATCGTTTTTTTCTCGTCAAAATGAAACTCAGGCGGACGCCGCGAGAGGGGCGTATTTTCCCTTCAGAGTCGGGGCGCCCCCCGGAGGCCAACCCCCGCCCCCCACCCCCGACGCCGCCCGTGCCCGGGTCCGCGCGCTACTTGCCTGCAGCGGTGCCGGCGCCTCTCCCCGCCGGGGCGTCCCCGCCTGCGCGCACGTGTCCGCGGCGCCCCCGCCCTCCTAGGGCCCCGTCCCCGCCCCGGGGCGCGCCCCGTCAGGCATCCGGCCCAGGACCCGACCGCGTCGCCGCCCAAGAAAGTGGGGGGGGGGGAGCGCGGGGGGGGGGGGGGAGCGGCGGGGGGCGGAGCAGGGGGGGGCGCTGCGCGCGGGGACCTGTCAACCCGGCAAACACGCACTGGCCCTGCGCCCCCTCCCACCCCCTCCGCTTTTTGTCCCGTTCTTGGGCCCATTTGTCCCGACGGAGGTGGTGGGGGGGGCGAGGGAGGGGGCGTCCCTACTCCAGGCCCCCCAATACCCCAGCCCGCTGCAAAGCCCGGGGCTCCCAGATAGGACTCCCTGATCCCAGAGGGAAATAACTGGTCTTAACCCAAACAAAGCCGACACCCTTCCCGAGATGCTGCGACTCTTAGGGTCTTTCCAGATCACCCCTCGGTCTTCCTTTTCCTCTTGGGGCTCTGACACACACTGTTGCTGCAGTCGACCACATGCAAAGCCAGGGATCCCCCCCAAAAGCCATCCTGAACACGAGTCTTAGGTTCGTTTCCACAATCAAAACAGCCTCGGATGGAACCCCACGGATTATTAAGGGAAAACCAAAACAAAACAAAAAAACAAAACAAACCAACCAAAAACCTAGCGAAAGCAGCACAGAGTCTTACAAAGCCAAACATTTGTTCCTACTATGTCCTGGAACCCAATTCAGAAACCACCCCCTTCCCCTTCTTTAATTCCCAGACTATCCCTACTCTGCCAAAAGAGGAAGAAAACACTAATGTCAAACCTCAAAGACCAGAGATAGTATAGAATGGGGTCCAGACCTGTGTCTGACTTAGTAAAGACAGAGCCAAGAATTTCCTCCTGTCCCCCAAAACAACAGATGGACCAACTATTCACAGTCACTAGCAGTCAACACTTGCTACCTGCCCCATTAAGCACAGCGCCAGCACAATTCATCATCCCAATGTTGAGTTTCTCCTCCTCCCACCTCTCAATTCCATGTCAGCTGCTCAGGTTCAACTTCCTGTTACTAAATCCACCTGTTTTGTTGCGTTCATTAACCATGGACTCTCTCCTTGGCCACTGACAAAATTAACCATTGTGTCCTCCAAAAACTCCTTCCTTGGTATCAACAGACTCAACTGACCTTTATGTTCATTCTACTTCTTACAATAAGTCTTTCGGCCTCCTCTGGCTGATCTTTGACAGTCCTTCAAATCAGAGCTTTTCAAATTTTTGCATTGAAATTCCAAATGGCACTAATTACAAATGGCAAAAACCATTTATTTCCCCGTTCACCACCCATGTTGCATAAATGAACCTAAACTCGTAATATGAACATATTTACTTGAATTGTTCCATTTCATGCTTCAAAATTTGCCTTTTCTTCATATTCACTTTCTGCTAAGAAAATATTTCAAGTTGGTTACAAGTTTAAGCCCCAAATTATCAAGTATACACTACAAGAAAATGCACCCATCACTTAACGCCAGTGTCTTCTATGCGCCAGGCACTAGGGATACAATTAGACATGGCCTCTTTCCTCAGTGGACAAAGGCAAAACATGTACAAACAAGACAATTTTAAATCCATTAATTGATAATGAAATGAGTGGATTAAATAAATCAGTGAGGAGAGGAGTAATGAATCAGTAAGAAATCTTCTGACATATGAAGTGTTTTCCCTGTGGCTTCATATCTCTAAAATCCTTGCCATTAAATGCCGTTGTTATGCAGGTCTCAAGCTTCTGTACTCTCTACAATTTCCCTGGATCTCATACCCGTGCCCTGCAGACTACACCTAAGTTAGTAGGAACATGAATGATAATGAACAATGATGAATGAACTTTACCTGACTGACCTATATAATCATGGCATCCAATGCAATTTCAGAATACATATGCCTTTCAGGTACACATGGAAAACTAACAAAATCATACATTTTACAAATTTAGACCATGTTTTTGGCCAGAGGGAATCTCAATAAAGCAAAATCAAAAACAAACCAAAAAGACTGACATTACAGAATGTGTTCTGACCACCCAGTTATTAGTCTAAAAACCAAAGATGAAAGGTTAACTAGAAAAGCTTCAGTATATATGAAAATTAAAACACATTCAGAAATAACCCGTGTGAAAACATAAACTGCAACAGAAATCACAAAATACTATGATCTGAATGTTAGTAAAACAATCCTACATATCAAAAGTTGTGGGACACAGCTAAAATATAATTACAAAGGAATTTCCAGCCTTAGATGATATAACAGAAAACAAAGCCTACAGATGCCGCTAATTATCAGACACAGAAGATAACCCATCGGGATTGTGTGAATTCTAAAATCTGGATAAAAATGCAGAGAAATGTGAACAGCCAAAATCCTGAAGAACAAGGTATGTAAACATTTTTATATTATATACTTTACCAAATATCAAGAATTTTTAATGCTTTACCAATTAAGATAGCAAAGTACTGATGTATGGACAAAGTGATAAATGCAATAGAATCAAGAGCCCAGAAATATGGGCATTTAACAGATGACAGAACCAGCAGGGTAAATCAAGAAAGATGAATTTTCTAGAAATTTAAAACATTTTAAAATCACGGTGGTTAACCTACTTCTACTCATACACAAAATTCAACTCAGTGGAAGACTAAGTTACACATATTTTAGAACATAATACAGGAAAATATTCACAATCTCAGGATGAAGAATTCTTAAATAAGACATAAAGACAAAGTACAGGGAAAGACTGGTATATTTCATTAGAAGCAGAAAGAAACGTTTTAAAAAATGAGCAAATGATTTGAATAGCGACTTCCCAAAAGAGGCAATACAAGTGGTTAAGAAACCCATGAGATAAGAAACAATCTGATGGAAAACACATTATTTAGAGGTAAAATACCAATTTCTTTAAAATCTGTCTATAAAAAAAACATCAGAATGGATGGTGGGATAAGTGGTGGATAGATTTTATTCTTTGAACTATTATTTCTCAAATTCTTAAGAGTTGCCTTTACAGTATTAAAAACCCAGGATATTTTCCAAAGTTTTAAAAAGCTACAGTACCAAACGTGGGAGATACAATTCGAAAGCACTGGTATAATTCCTTTAGAAAAGTTAGATGCTACCTAGTAAAGATGACAGGACATCCTCTATGAGCAAACAGTTCCACCCCTAAATGTATTCTTAAGAGATCACGGACATGAGCAACAGAACACATAGACAAGAAAGGTCAGTGGCTTTGCTGGTAAGAGCAAGTAGAAGAGACACGGCAGGTGTATTCTTGATGGACTACTGCACTAGCAACTAGCAAAAACAAACTGGTTATAGGCATCAACAGGGGTGACGGCAAAACCTACGTCACAAAAGAATGCAGGTAGTATTTTCTTATATAGAACATTCTATTAAACCATATGTAAGTTCACCTTGGTGTGATTTTTTTAAAGACGTTTTCAGGAACGCAGACCTCAGAACTATTCCAAGTGTCATCCGGGAACCTTACTGAATTCTAACTGGCTGGTGAAGAGCAAAGCACAGAAAGTGAGAGCAAGTCTGCTCAGAAAGCATTTAGAGGGGCTACCCTGGTGGTGCAAGGGGTTAAGTGTCAGCTCTATGAAGTGTCAGCAGCTACTGAAGCATCAGATCGATCCCTGCCCAGGGAGGTGACCCCCATGGCACAGCAGACCTCTCCTGTCTCGCCTGCTGCTCCCCTCAGCAGTATATTTCAGTCAGTCTGCCTGTTCTGTTCCCCACTGTTTCTGGTGAATCCTCTCACCCCCCGCACCTCTGGCCTGCACCCCAGTTCTTGTATGCATAAATTTAAAAAAATCTTAAAAAGAAAAAAAAAGCAAGCATTTAGAGAAGCTGACAGCCACCTGCACTGCCAAAAAAACTCAAGGGTATGATTTTATATTTACTTACCAGTTTGTGATGGTTTGGAGATTTAAAAATAGTTGGAGAACTAGTACACATAAGTGGTAAAAAGATGCACAGAATAAGAAAATGGTCTTCATTACAAGCAGAACATCGGTTACCTCTAGCGGGGACATTCAGCATTAGGATCAGGAATGGGTACATGAAAGCCTTCCATGGTGCTGGTAAAATTGTGACATGAGTGTGTACTTTGTACTTTTCTCTTTGAATTGCACATGTTTACTACTTCTGTATTATGACAGATTTTAGTATTTTGCAATTTTAAGAATTCGTTATAGGCAATACCAATTCTTGAAAGTATCTCCATAAAATAACTGAAATACACCAAAATGGAGGGTAGAATTATCAGTGTATTTTACTCTCTAATCATCATTTCTCGAATTCTTAAGTCCTCTTTCCTTTTTAAAATAGTAGCCATAATTAGTAATTACCAGCACTAGAAACAGATTCAGCCAGACTAGTGTTACTTCCAGTAGATCTTGATTTCGGTGAGAAATGTAATCATTCCTAATGATAATGTCTTGAAAGTAAAAGAAATGTCTACCGAAAAACAGCACATTTGGTGCTGTCTCGACAACATCCGGTATTTTCCTCCAGAATCCAAGACAACTGAGACAAAGAAGTCAAGTCAGGACATCAAACATCACCTCTTTTATTAACAAAGTTAAAGAACATGGTTTTTGATGTGGCGCTACAGGGACTCCATATCCCTGAATTAGGTGTGAATCCACTCAATTGCTGGTCTGGATAATCGTGAGAGAGAAAAAATTAAACTCGTTGGGGGAGAAATCTTTTGACCTAAGTATTCTCTAGCACCCTTAAGTGTCTTAGACCCTTAAGTCCACCTGGCTTCATTACTGATAGACCGTTAGCTGCTCATAGTCTTCCTCACCCCCATGTAGTGATGTTCCTGGAAGGAAACTACCTTACTCACTTTTGAAACTTCTAGCAGAATATTACATACATGATAGACATTCCAACACATTTCTATCTGTGTTATCTACTGTAAGAATTGTAAGTCGAGGCCATAGTAAGAACTTTATCAAGCAAAAGATCAAAAGACTAGAACAGAACTGATGATAAAAATAAAAACACAGTATCTTTAACTGTTTGATATGATAGGCACTGATGGTAATGCTTGATAAAACATCTCATAATATTATAGATACTGCCTTGGTAAGAGATGAAGAACAGAAATATACAGAATTGTTTTAAATCATTTGTGTGAGAGCATACAATGATGATTTGAAATTGGCTATGATCCAAACAAAGCCAAAGCACTAAACCTCTCTATATGAGCTGTACTGAAATCAAGAGTTAAGTCTTTGGAGACCAATTCTTAACTAGTGTTTGTGAGGCAATGTTGCACAGTGGCTGAGAAAGAGGGCTCTAAAGCCAGACTGCATGGTTCATGTTCATACTCTAATTACTAACTGTGATCGAGGCAGTTAGTAATTGTGGTTCTGAGTTGAGATGTGAATCTCATCTGTAAAATGGGAATCATATCCTCAGTGCCCAGTGTATTAATACAAGTAAAATGTTTAGCACAGCAGCCAGCACAGGATTATGATTCAGTGATTGTTAACCTGTATTTCCTGTTACTCCCCTGCTACTTTTATAGAACTGTGCCCAGGGACACGGTGTCCACTATTGTTGCATCATGAAGGGAAAACAACAAAACTGAGGCAATTTGGTATCAGACAATCAAAGGATAACACACTTAAAAACAAAGATTTTAGTGAACTGATAGCTTAACTGTCTTTCACCTAGACTTCAACAAGAAATGCAAAAAAGGTTAAAAATGAGGAAGTCTTTCTTGACTAGTTCCTAAGATGTTTTAGTGAAATACCAAGTAACGACTCTTTTACTACAAAACTGTATTCCAAGATACAAGTTCATTAGGAACTTGAAAAAGATGTAAATCCTGACAGAAACAAGTAAAGTCAGTTTGTTGATTTTTTAATTCGACAAGAATTAGCTGATGCAATCCTGCAGAACCAACATCTGTTTACTTTAGAGAAATTTCTATTTTTAAAAAAAGTAAATGAAAATCCCCTTTGAATGTATATTAATTTCTTTAATTTTTGAAAACAATAGTCATAGGGCCTTTTTGTCCTATTTAATTATAAATGTTACACATTTACAAACTGAAGCAAAAATGGATAGCACAGACATTTAAATGAAATCTTTTAAAGAAAAAAAATTACTTTTCAGTCCACTGTATTTTCAAAGTTATTTATCAAGCGGGGGAAGAAAGTTGTGAACCACAAATCATTTGTTTCTTTAATAGAAAAAGAATGTTTAGATTATTAACAAAGTAACATCTTAAAATGTATCTTCACACAGTTGAAATTTTAGTATAAACCTGTATATCAAGTTTCTTTCCATTATTCTACTTTAAAAATACATACAGCTAATGATGTTTAAATATGTGCACTGAGCTGTATGTCTAAACATCAACACTTGGGAAATTCAAACTGTTGCAACAAGTTATGAAAGGATTAAAGAAAACAGATGAGCCATAAATTATATAGCAGGAGGAAGAGAAAAAAATGTTCATATTTAACATTTACATCTGGATAGATAATGTATTTTCTAATTTATATACACATATCCAGTTAAGTCCATCAAACTTAAAAACCTGTTACATATGGACCAGATTAAGTCTGTACTATTGTCTACAACAGGTAACACTGGCAACTTCAAAAGTTTTAATATGTTTCAATAGCTTAGCTTCGGTCAAAAGTTATTTATGGTATAGTCTAATTGCAGTTTTGCTAGGCAGAAATTAAGTCATTGTGTTATCTATGCCAAACATGGCAACTGATGATATCTGAATCTGCTTAATTATAGAGTAAGTATCTGAACACAACAGAGCAGACAGTCAACCAGAAAGAAGATTTTACATACGTCCATGCTTATCAATCATGTTAACATTAATGTTTAAAATTTTCAAATTAAAATATAAAGGGACACGTACAAAACTGCAGGACAATTCCAATACAAGAACTCAAACAGATGGCTCTGCAAAATCTTAAACTTCAGTTCTCAATCTTTTAACAAATATTAAGAAGTAGCTATTTGGTCTTCAAAAATTTTAGAATTAAAGGGCTGAAAACATTTTCATCCCATGCTAGACTGTAGCACTGAAATCAGCAAGCATTACAACTTGAATTCATTTTGCTCTTACATGCAGCAGTGTATATATGCACTTTAAAGACAGCTTAGAATTAAGAATTAACTTCTGGTCAGTAGTGGTAAGTGACTAGAATTGCTATCCAATCAGTATTCTGTGGTACCACATGTCAATGTCTCTACAATATGACAGTCTGATGCAGCACTCATCACTTTTGGGTGGGGAAGAAAGGCATGGCAAAAAGCAGTTGTATTTTTTCTAAACAATGGAAAAGCTTTAAATACCTTTACAATTTTGCATCATTTATATTCTATTCTAGAATAGTTGCAACAAAATCTTATTTCAGTCAGCTCAATCTGTATCAGCAACAAAATACAAACACAGCCTAAACCCTACAGTATACAGAACGTGCACTGTTTAATATTCATTTAATATAGTTCAATCAATGGAGATTATCAAATAGGAAACAACATACAGCATTCTAAACTTTTAAATCATTTTAAGGCTGCTAACCAGAGAGAGTACAAATGACATGTGCAAGACAAAACACTGAAAAGAAAACAACTCCCATCTCCCCACCACCAAAAACAAACAACAACAACAACAAAACCACCACTAACTTCTCAGTACATCCTTCACATGGGTCAGGATGAAAAGCATGGCACTTTTATGATACTAATATGACAACTGTCAATTCAAGCTGGTAATGACTAACAGACATTAAACCCACGGAAGGGCAAAAAAGTCGATTCAAATGTTAAAGTGAAACAGTTGACCATCTTCCTTTGCAAAAGCACTGGAAACGGTAATGTGTACAAAACAACTCACTCATAATTATTCCATTTCATTTGCCCCCAATTTTAGTGCCTTAAATTATTCTGTAATTATGCTACCTGTTACAACAGTCTGATTTTCAAGGCCTGTGTAAATCTTTTTTTCATTATTGAAATATAGTATTTTCTGTGTGATGAGACTGTCCTTTATGAAGAAAAAATTTTATTATAAATCATAGAACCCAAAACTCAAAAACCTGACATTTTCCAAGCTAGTGAGAAATAAATTATATCCATGATGTACCAATTTAAAATTATATATCAATATTAACTAACATTTCTATGGTAGATTCTCACTCCCCACCCCACCCCGCCTCCATAAAATTAAAGAGTGCAGAATAGGGCTGAAGCTACAGTTAATCACATTTGATTTTCTTAAAAACAAAGTTTTATTTACTATAAACAATGAAAAGGCAATTTTCTTCCTCCACAACACTTATAACATTAAATCAAAGGTTTTTAAAATATCCACTACCTATAACAAAAGTACTTTAAAATGGTTAAAAGGAATCAAAATACCAAAGTTTAGTGTGCGAAGAGTAGATATAAACAACTAAGAAAAGAGGAGATCATTGGTGTTGAATATTTAACATGGATAGCCCAAAATAAGCTCCAAAGTTTTTCTACCTTTACAAATAAAAAAGATGTCCTTTCCACAGTTTGGGGATATGCAGTGTATATCCTCCCTTCCCCCCCAACAAGTGTGTGAGTAAGATTTTAAAAATGTTGCCAATATTAAGTTCTTCGGTACCTAAAATTAGAGGACAGCAATATTACAGTGGCCATGGCGATCAATTCTCAAAATGCAGTTATGATCCAACACGCGTTGTGGTGGTTCTTTTATCTGAGAAAAAGCTTTTCAGAAGAAATACCTGCCCTATGCTAACCACCAGAAGAATGAGGGCTTCTCCGACTGACCAATAGGCCACTCTTGTATTTAGATCCTCTGCTCGACTTCGGCCTTGAGCTTCTCTCAAACGGAAATGAGTCTGATAGTCGATGACAGATTTCAGAGCTTCGTGAATTGAAACACAGGCAGATTCCATCTAAAGAGAAATTTTTAGTTAATATGTGAATATTTTCTGTATAATCCATCATATTCATCTTTCCATTTCATCTCAATTAAATTTAGTAGGTTAACATTCTACTAAACTGGCACCAACTCATTCACTCAGTTATGCCAGAGTTCAATCTTCCATTCATATCCACCAGCAAAAATGGCTAAGGTTAGTGATGCCACAATGCTTTCCCTAAACTGGATGACCCAGTGTGGCATCTGTAAGGTACAGGTGGAACGGGAAGATAAGAGAAGTACAAATACATACTATTAAGGTTAACTGGCTACAGAATGTCAAGCTCCTTAAAAAGGCAGAGCTAGGAAAAAGAGAATGGTAGTAAATTTGACCAATCATAAGAATACAAATCAATCTGAATTTATATAAAAATAAATTTACCATAAAAACAGATCAAGCAAGTTCTGGTATTTTACCTCTATTAAAAACAGCAATAACATTATCAAAATCCTCGGCTAAGTTGAATCTGAAAATGACAGATCAGGATAGGAACATGTTTTTTCTTTTTTAACATTTACCAATTTGCTAAATAAGCCATTTTCCTCATGCCAGTCAACTAAACCAATACATATGTTCCAAAACGGGTGTAAGCTTCAGTTTCATTGTGTAATCATCTTGTGGTGACACTTTTTATCTTTTTAAACCTTCATATGATGACACCTCACCTTCTTCAATGTTTCTATACCATCTGCTTTGATAAGGATCAGTGTGTAACCTTTTTTGTATATTAGACTTCAATATTTTTCTACTGCTAGAAACTTAATTTTGGTGGTGAAATACATGCTCCATTATTATACTTATTTTACATCACAAAGCATGTATTAGGTATTTTAAAACAAATATATGAGTTTATATTAATTTTAATTGAGTAGTAGACATTAGAAAACAATTTACACATCTGAAGAAGTTCTACCAAAGAAAGAATAAAAGGAATTATAAAAGTATTCAACTTAATTTCTCTTAAACAGTGTTGAGAAACTGTGAGGTTTATGGACTGAAATTACCTATTAGAAAACTCATAACACTTTTATTTGGCTGCTATCTCTTTATGTCTTTAATCTCTAGGCTCTCTTCTTTTTCCCTTCCCATCTATTTCTTGAACAAACTGGACACACTGTTCTCTAGCATTTCCTACTTCTGAGATTTGGCTGGTTGCATCCCCATGGTGTTCCTCCCTCCTCTGGATTTCTAACAAAATGGTAATTGGAGCCAGAGACTCCATGGGATTCAGGTGTCATGTGGGGGGTAGAGGGGAGGGGACACCTCTTGGGGAATGTTATGTACTTATCACATATTGCCATAGATACGTAAAGTCCAATTATCTCTCCATTCGTGAATGATCATTAGAATTGGATGATCTCAAGCCTTACCCATTCATTATCAAGTGTCTCATCACCCTTTCTACTAATGGTTTCAGCAGTGATGGGTAATTACTGCCCATTCCAGATCTATCATTGTATTATAGTGATTTAGAAAAACTATCATTTATTCTGCATTTACTAGTTGGTAATTTTTTCAAATTTAAAGCACAAACAGCTGTTTTGCCAGTATCCCTGTTGCATGAGAGATTCACTCGTTTTTTTCAAAGTAGAATAAGATAAAGATTGTGATACAAATAAGGAAGGTTAAGTGGTACTATCTGCTTTCTTACAATTGCCTACTTAGGTCTTTAAAGCAAGCTCTCACCTTACACAAATTAAAATTTATGAAGCGTTACAAGGCTCAAAAAGAAAAATGTCTCTCCAAAGGAAAATGCCTTTCACAAAGGATATTAAAATAAAAAGAACATTTCTAAAAATAAGAATATCTGAATACATCTTGTTAATGCTTAGAACAGATTTATGAATTAAGACACATACATTTTTAAAAATGCCTCTATCACCACATGACTTTGGCCAAAAGAATTAAATGGAACCTGGAAACAATGCAATACCAGTTTTAACATGTAGGTGGTAAATAGTTCCTAAGGACACCTATCTTTTAGACAGGGTTAGCTTATGCTCATCAACTGAGTGGTAACTGTTCAATAACTTTAAATGTCTGTTGCTATCTATTTCTTTCATTAAACCCTTCTTCAAAATAAACGCCTATTTTTGTGAATTAGTTACCATTAATATTTTACCTAAGTTACAGCGAAATTTACTTTAAATGGAGCTTGCTTAATACTAAAAACTGGTATAAAATTACTTTGGGATATTTACATTTTAATTAACATATCAGTTTGCTTCCATGTATACCAACCTGCTAAGGTCTGGTCAAGGGTCCTGCATGAATTACAGAAAATGCCTCAGAATGCTAGAATACTGTTTTTTTACCTTCTTAAATTTCCTTTGCCATTAATGTTTCTACCTAACTGATCCTACAACTTAAAAGCTCATAAACTCCTCTACCATTGGTCTTCACTAAAAAGAAGTCTCAATTCTTCTGTGAAATGCTTAATTTATTGTAAGAATTGTTAGGTTTAAAAGTTGTATCAAAGTGTCAAAATTTGGGCCTCCCCTGGTGGCTCAGGTGGTAGAGCGCAGCGCTGTGAAGCTGTCCACAGCCTCTGCAGCATGGGTTCGATCCTGGCCGGCCAGGGAGATACCCACATGTCGCGCAGACCTCTCCTGTCTCGCCCGCTGCTCCCCTCAGCAGTGTATTTCAGTCAGTCTGCCTGTTCTGTTCCCTGCTCTGTCTCTAGTGAATCCTCTCACCCTTCCACATATCTGGCCTGTACCCTGGTTCTTGTATGCATGAATAAATAAATCTTTAAAAAAAAAGTCAAAATTCTATTCTCATCAAAGAGTTATAATGAACATTAAATCATGCATCTCATTTTCTACATATACCAATGTTATATTGCTGACTTTTTACTTACCTGGGTAAGAGCACTGACTCGGTTTTCACTAGGAAACAAAGGTGGGTCTTCTCCAACTTGAAAATCAAAATATACAGTTTTATGTGTGAAAGTAGAAAATTCATTACTGAAGCAAAATTTGAATGTCCCATTTTTGGAGGCTGTGAAGGTAAAACTATCATATTGCTTCTTCATCTCTTTGTATAACACATTACCATCAGGATCTTCTAATCGACAATCTACATCATAGTGACCACCAGTAATAACCTATAAAAAAAATAAAGAGATCATTGCAAATAACAAATTTGAGTAATTAACCAGGTATCCTGTCAAAATGGCAATAAGGTTATATGACTTTTACTATGATATATTTTTAGGTTTTTACCAGTGGTTGGAAGTTGGGAGGCAGATTTCAGTTCAACTAAAGTTTTATACAAAGTAAACAAATTTTCTCATGACAGGTGAGAGGGAACTCAGACACTGTACTAGTTGATGTGAATCTCTTTCTATCATTCACTGCTCCCAAAAACACTATGAGGGAGGGCTTTTCCCTTCCATTTGGCAACCTGAGAAACTGCCTTTAGTAACCTACCTCAGGCAAAACTTGAACTTCAAACCCATATACTCCTGACTCCCAAGCTTACTGCCATATAACTTTCCTTCCAAAAGTTTCTCACCTAGTTTCCTAGTATCATCATACACACACACACACACACACACACACACACACACACACACACACACAGGAGAAATGTAGAGCAACAGTAAAAGTAGGTCAGTGCCTAGCATAACATCCCTATCATAAAACTGACACCCATTTAAATACCAAATCACAAATATACTGTGCATCTTATGTTCTTTATAGGTCAACTATATATGAAATTTGATGTTATTTTTGTTTTGAACTACATTATACGTTGAAAAGACTCCTGGGCTGTTCTAAGGGATTATCTTCAGTTATAAACGTGTCTCCAAGAGAAATGTAAATGATTAAACTACACTGCTTAAACACTTGTAATTAAAGCAAAAACATAACAGAGCAAAAGAAATGCAAACAAACCTTTTGTTTATCTGGAGTGCTTGCTGATAGGAGAGTAAGCATATTGGAAGGAAAGCCAGAGATAGGTGAAATGCTGCTTCTTTTTTTTTTTTTTAAAAAAGATTATTTATTTATACAAGCACTGGGTACAGTCAGAAGCGCAGGAGGGTGAGAGAATTCACCAGATCCAGAGCGGGAACAGAACAGGCAGACTGACGAAATACACTGCTGAGGGGAGCAGCGGGCAGCAGGAGAGGTCTGCGCGCCATGTGGGACCCTCGCAGGTGGCCAGGGATCGAACCTGCGCTGCAGAGGCTGTGGGCAGCTTCCCAACCCAGCGCTCAACCGCTGCGCCACCAGGGAGGCCCAAGGTGAAATGCTTCTAAGGATCCGGGAGCTATTCTCAAGGGCTTAAGCATAATCAGCCACAATATGGGTCATTCGGGTTGTATAAATGATGAAGGGCGAGATTTGTTTTGAGGTAACTGGACATGTATAATAAGAGCAAAGGGAAGGATTAAAGAGGAGGAAGGTCTCTTTACATGAGGAAGAGGCGAGTGGGAATAAAGAGGGGACAGAGACAGAAGAAGAGATTGCGTGTACCCACCACTTGAGAAAGGAGATGAGGAAGAGACACTGGGGTAGAGGGACCCTAACCACCATGAGAGTGGGTGGCTCAAGCCAGTATTTTCAAGCATGGTATTAACATTGCAGATCTATAAAAGAGAAATCAAACTTTGAACTTCAAAGTTTGTTGTTAATTTTGAGACTTTGTCACTTACGAGGTATGATGAGTATGTGATGATGTCAGTCATTTTAATAATTAAATGAAATATAAATATGCATTTAGGAACCCATACAAATATGGAAATGTCCGTATACAGCTGTGCTTTCACATAAAAATACTATCTTAGCAAAAGGGCATTTACCTTGCCTCTGCCAAAACAAACACCTTTCCTTCAGGTGGAAATAATGATTTCATTTTCATACTCAATTATTCATACTTGACCTTTGTGCTGTGAATCATGGAAGATAATACATACAAGCTGTGCAGGACCAGAACCTATCCTCATACTTTTTTCTTCCATCAAACTTTAAAATAAGTAATCTTATTTAAGATAAAAGCACCTCCTTTACAGTCTCTCTGGTCTGATAAAATAGCAACAGGATCATCCCAAATTAAGTGAACCAACCTGTCCAGTTAGTCACAGAAATCTCTTGACTTTATTGCCCCTGTCAAACTGATCCTTTCTCTTCCATTCCTGATCCACAACCCAGACAGTGCTACTGCTACAAGTTCATACAAAGGCCTCCTGCATCCTAATCTCTCCTCCCTCTAATCCAGGATTTCTCAACCTTGCTTAGATCATCTGGCGCTGGATGATTCCTTGTTGTGTGAGTTGTGCTGTCCTGTGCACTGCAGCCTGTTAAGCAGCATCTCTAGACTTTACCCACTAGAAACCAGTTCCTACATGTCTCCTGGGGAGGCCATCATCCTAGCTTTCCCCACTGAACATTCACTTAAAAGTTTTTGATAACTTCCTTTGGTCTACAGAAAAACCCAAATCCTTTATGGCCTCAAAGCAGCCTTAACCCCTTTTTTATACCCTTCTTTCAAAAAAAGCTGTTTCAAAAATATCAAACTGCCAGAAGTACTATGAACAAGTCTACTTTACATTTGCTGTAACACTGGGCTGTTAAACAGGGCTGTTTGCTCAGTTAAGAATCACAGGACCCAAAATGAGAAAGCAAAGAACACAACACAAACATAGCCAAGACTCTCTCATAGCAAGAGACCACGAGATGTCAGGTGTGAGCCTGTGGGCACGCATACTCTCAGATCAAGGACCCACTCCCTCACCCCCCAACTGTGCGAGAAACACCTTGGAACCAGGGCATCCATGATAGTCTTGGCTGGGTTCCATTATGCTGGTCACACACAACCTGGCTACATCGTCGGTCTCAGCAGCAGAGTCCCGGAGAAAGGAGGGATCTCACCATTACTGGATGCAAATCATCCATCTCACTACTCTCAATAAACAATGCTGACAAACTGGCATAAACTGCTCTTAAAGTTCTGCGACACAGTTATAGAGCAACTCTATTATTAAGTATATTTCAGTGCCAGCTCAACCTAATTTCAGGTCTGCTGAAATTAAGTCTCACAGGGCCTCCCTGATAGCACAAGGAGTTAAGTGTCAGCAGTATCAAGCCAGTCACTGTGGCATGTGTTTGATCCTGGACCAGGGAGCTAACTGACATGGTGCAGCAGACCTCTCCTGCTTGCCTGCTGCTCCCCTTAGCAGTGTATTTCAGTAAAACCACCTGTTCTATTCCCCACTCTGTCTCCGGTGAACCCTCTCACCACCCCCACCACCTCTGGCCTGCACCCCAGTTCTTCTATAAATAAATATAAATCTTTGAAAAAAAAATTCTCACAAATATAACAGATATGCCCAGGATTTTCTTTCCCCTCTGCCACTTGGTAGATTCACTCCTATTTATCCTTCTAGACTGAGCTGGGACATCAGCAACTCAGCTGAAATTCCCCTGATGATCTTTCACCTGTGAATATTGGTGAAGCACCAAACACCATGTCTGGGCATTCAAAATGTTTGCTATATTCAAATAGATAAAATTGTAGTTGACACTGTATGTGACAGTTCCTGCTATCTTTTCTGTCACTTGTCCTATCCATGAGGTTAAACAAGGTGAAGAGCCATCCCTAGCCTCCCCCCATCATTCACGCTAGCCAAGTCATCACCAAGTGCTGATTTTACTATCATCTCTCTAGTCCTTTCACTTTTCTCCTTCCCCAACTGCTACTACCCTAGCCTAAACCTGGACCATTACCATAGCCTCCTAATCAGTCAGACCTCACACTCCGCTCTGCAAGACTCCACTACCTTCTCTGCCTGCAATGTTAACATCCACTCAACTACCAAGAATACTTGGATCATGTCACGGCATTCCTCACAACCCTCTGAGGGCCTTCAATAGTCTTAGGAAAAACTAGAATCCGGAACATGGGCAGTAAGGTGCCAAAGGAATGGCCCCTGCTGACCTCCCTCTGGCTCCTGTTCCCAACTATATTAAACCTCACCATGATCCTCAAATCTACAGTAACAATTCAGTCACTTTGACAACTGGAACCTTTGGGCTATATCACCCACCCACCCCTTACCAAAGTATTTATGGTACATCCTAAACAATTCAACTGAAAACCACTTCCCAAGCCAAGTTTTCACAGACCCCAACTACCAGATGGCGTATCCCATTTTCTGATCTTAATGCACAATGAATGAGCAAGGACTAATCAAGGAAAGAAGGGTGGGGTGGGTAGAGAATCCAGAGTGGAGACAACAACTCTGTTTTGATCTACACGGTCACACCCGCACCTACAAAACTCAACAGCTGCCGCTCAAGCATCAGAATTGACCAGCAAACAAAACTGGTTGGGAACCAGCTTCAGAAGCTACATTCTCTCAATAAAAGTTTCTTTTTAAATCTGACTCCAGAAATGAGAAGCCTCTCAGTGACCACAGCCATTCTTTCCACACTTCCTACCCACCTGGCCGACGGTTATGCGGCCTCTCCCGGAGGCTCTTCCGAGCAATGGAGCAAGGTATGGCATCGCTTCAGACCGGTGTGAAGCGGAGGTGGGACTCAGACAGAGACTGAGAGCCCAGCATAACTTTTTCAAAAGGAGACTCTTTCCAGGAAGAAAGCCCAACAGGCCTTAAAATAAAGGCCACCAGAGAACCACAGGGACCCCTTCTGGCACTCACGGGTCTCAATATCCTCACCTGCCGTCGCCCCCGGTTCAGAAGACACCTGCCAGGTGCCCCGAACCAGCCACCTACAGCCGATTCCTGAGCCAGCCAAGACCGGGGAGACCTGCCAGGAGGGGGCAGCTCGCAGGATATGAGGGCCCCGCCCCTGCCAGCGCGACCCGGGGGGACCCCAGTGCTGGGGACCCCGCCGTACCTGGAACTCGAGGGTGCACTTGGTGCCCTGCGTGATGTCCTCGTAGAAGCACTGCTTGGCGTTGTCGGGCAGCTCGAAGGTGATCTCCGAGGCGGCGCCCGGCGCGGGCGGCAGCAGCAGCAGCAGCAGCAGCGCGAGCAGCCCGCAGCCCCGACGGCCCGCGGCGGCCGCCCCGCGGGGCCCGGACCCGGGTGGCGACATCCGCGCGGCGGCGGCCTCCACGGAGCAGCGGCGGACGCCGGGCAGGTCTGCGCGGGCTCCCCGCGCGCCGCAGGCCTCAGGCCGGGCCGCACCGCGAAGACGCGCGGCAGAGTCGCCCCGAGCCGCGGGGAGCGTCCGGGCGTCGAGCGGGCGCCGGCGGGGAGCGGGGTGCGGAGGGCCCGGCCCGGGCGGGGAGCGGCCAGGGGAGCGGAGACGCGGCCGGCGAAGCACAGGCGGAAAAGGCCCGAGCTGGCCGGAAGTGGGGGCGAGGACTGGGGGGGAAGGGGCGGGACCTGCGGCACCTGCTTCAGCGACCCGGATGTGCTCGCCCAGAGGGGCGGGGCCAGAGGCGGGGGAGCGCGTACGTGGAAGCTCGTGAGGCGGCGCTGCCGCCGCAGCCCGGGCGGGGGCGGGGACAATGTAGGTAGCGTGGCGGGGCGGGGTCGGGGTGAGGGGCGTGGCCTAGGACAAGTGGGCGGGGCTAAAGGAAGCTCTGCTGGCTTCTGTCGCTGTGACAGCTCAGCGCTCCGGGAGGTACCAGGGACTGCAGAACCCGTTTTGCTCCATGAGGCATTCACCGGAAGATGAGAGCTTTCCAATTTGCAGGATTTTTTTTTTTTGCATAAATAATAAGGCAATCGCCGGAAGATGAGCGCTTTCCAATTTGCAGGATTTTTTTTTTGCATAAATAATAAGGCAATCACCGGAAGATGAGCGCTTTCCAATTTGCAGGATTTTTTTTTTTTGCATAAACAATGACAGATACTCGGGGGAAACAGTCTAGCAAAGAGCGCGAATTCTAGGGCTAGCAGACTGCGGAGTTCTAATCCCTGCTCTGCTACTTACTGGCTGTGTGACATTGCTTCGCCTCTCTGCTTCATTTTTGCATCTGCAAAATAAGGAAAATAAAAATACCTACCCTAAAGGATTTTTACAAGGATTCAGGATTTAGGGGAAAATACCGGGAAGAGTAAATAAAAATAAGCACGTTAAATAAAAATGCACATTTGTTGAGTACTCCCTATCACATTGCTAATCACATGGCATGTATTATGCATTTTAGCCCTTCAAATTAATCCTCTAAGGTAGGTATTATCCTTCCTATTTTACTGATGAGGAAACTGAGGGTCAGAAAAGAGTGACACACTTGTGATCTCATCATTGGGTTTGTTTCAGACCGCTGGAAAAATGATAGTAAGTAACATTCATAGTTGCTAACAGGTGTTGATTTCTTAAATGATGTATTTCTCCTGCATATAAACATGAATTAAGTATTAATCCATTTGTAATAAATGACTACGATGAGGCTTTTGCACTTTAAAATGATCATCAGAGGGTGGATAGAAGATTTATGAGAAGGAAATAGAGGGATGTGTGTAGGAGCCATGAAGAGAAGTGAGGCTTGGGGTGGGTGCAGGAGTGGTGGGAGACACAAGACTGCTCTACTGAACCTCTAGCAGCCTGGGGTGTATCTCTCACAGCCTGGGGTGCCCCAAGGAGCCCCCAAGGAGAAGAGATTTGGAGAATCCCAAGAACTGGGCCAGAAACTAAAAAGCATGAATTGTGTCTGTGAGAAGAATGAAGACTGATTTCCAAAGTCAAAAACATGGGTCCTATTTCCTAACTCTTTGGGTAAGTAACCTTACTCTTCTAATTCTCTTTCTTCATACTTAAAATGGCAATCCAAACAATGAACGAATGAATGAGATTAAAGCCACCATGCAATACAATACCCACCAACAGTTAGGCCAACATTTTAAAAGTGCAGCTCACCAGATGCTGGTGTGCAGAGACATCCTCCCTACACTGCTAGTACAAATTGGTACAACCACTTTGGGAAACGTGGATTATCTAGTAAAGTACACACACAGAGACACATATACACATAGACGTGTGTGTGTGAATACATAAAGAGAGAGAGATCCTTGATATTCCACTTCACATACTTCAGGACAATATACTTCAGGACAACAGTTCTCAAAACATGCTCTGAAGGTCCCTTGGAGCTTCTGACACCCTTTCAGAGAGGGTCTAAGATGATCTATGTGAGATTAAATTTTCATCACATATCTCAACCAAAACAATATGTAATGAATTGAACGTAAAAACATGAGCACCCAGCTTCTTGTATGAATCTGGATATTTGAGAGTTTATAAAAATGTAAAGCAATGTCACTTTTATCTTAAACATTCATTAATAAGCTAAAATGAATGCAACAAAACAAAAAGTCAACACATAGCTTTAAATAGTAAGCATTTGACACTGGTTGTGCGGCTTTTCCTGCTCTTCTGATCTAGTCCTTCCTACCTTCTGCCCTATCTAGTCTTTCCTACCATGTAAAGCCCCCCTGTGCTAGTGTTGAGAAAAACCCAATTGCTTGAGAACTGTCTGTGACCACGTGACTTGCCTTCCTAGGCAATTCACCCACCCGTACTACAAGAAAGCAACTAAGCCTCAGGAATCGTGGAAAGCTGTAATCTATTTTTAATAGTAATTCTAGTTTTTATTGGGGGAAGTAGGAAGAGGAAGTCAGGCAGGGAGATAAAATAGCAGAAAACAAACTGCATTACTTCAGTAAAATCTTAAAGCACCTAAAATCTGGACTCTTCACAATTTAACCCAGCAATGCTCAAACTGCACTGCTGAAAAGAATCACCTAATAAGATTGTGAAACCCACAGGCTCAATGCTACTCCTCTAACTTATTATTTGGAAAATATAACAATTTTTCATTTCTTTTATTGATGTAGGGAATGAATCGTGTCTTCCTAGAAACATACATCCAACTCTTTTTTTAAAAAAAGATTTTATTTATTTATGCATCCAAGAGCTGGGGTGTAGGCCAGAGGTGCAGGTGTGTGAGAGGATTCACCAGAGACAGAGTGGAGAGAAGAACAGGAGAACTGTTCTGTTGAGGGGAGCAGCGGGTGAGACAAGAGAGGTCTGTTATGCCATGTGGGCTAGCTCCCTGGCCCAGGGATTGAACTCATGTCACAGTGGCTTGTGATAGCTTCATAGCGCTAAGACTTAACCCCTTGCACCACCAGGGAGGCCCTGGCAGGATCAATTTCTAAGAAGACATTTTCACTTAATATTTTCACATTTTTACTTAATATCTTTTTTATTTATATATATATTTTTTTAAATAATTTTATTTTTATATTCCCCCATACAATTGCAAACGCCCCATTCTGACCCCAATCCTTCCCCTCCCGCCCCCCACCCCCCAAAAAGTGTCTCTGGTTCATAGTTTTTTGTTGATTTTGATTTTCACTTTCTTATATTCATTTTCCTGGTCCCTTATTTAAGTTTTCTAGATTCCTGCTATGAGTGAGACCATCCGGTATTTTTCTTTTTCTTTTTGGCTTATTTCGCTGAGCATGATCCCTTCCAGCGCCATCCATGTTGCTGCAAATGGCATGTGTTTATCTTTTTTGAATGCTGAGTAATATTCCATGGTGTATATGTACCACATCTTCTTGATCCAGTCATCTATTTTTGGGCATTTGGGTTGTTTCCAAAGCTTAGCTATTGTAAACAGTGCTGCTATAAACATAGGGGTGCAGGTGCTCTTTGGAATTGATGTTTCTGTGTCCTTTGGGTAAATACCTAGGAGTGGAATTGCTGGATCCTATGGAAGCTCTATGTTTAGTAGGTCCAGAAATCTCCACACAGCTCTCCATAGTGGTTGGACCAGTTTGCACTCCCACCAACAGTGCAGAAGAGTTCCTTTTTCTCCACACCCTCGCCAACATTTGTTGTTGCTAGTTTTTTTAATATGTGCCATTCTCACTGGTGTAAGATGGTATCTCATGGTAGTTTTGATTTGCATTTCCCTGATGACAAGTGATGTTGAACATTTTTTCATATGCCTGTTGGCCATTTGCATTTCCTCTTCAGAGAAGTTTCTTTTTAGCTCTTCTGCCCATTTTTTGACTGGATTATTTTCTTTGTTGTTGCTGAGTCTCATCAGCTCTTTGCAGATTTTTGTGATCAGTCCTTTATCATTAGTGTTGGGTGCAAAAATGTTCTCCCAGTTGGTGGGGTTTCTCTTTGTTTTTGTTATTGTCTCTTTTGCTGTGCAGAAGCTCTTTAATTTGATGTAGTCCCAGCTGTTTATCTTTCTCTTCACTATCACTGCTTTGGGTGATGTGTCTGTAAAGATGTCTTTGATGTGCAAATCCCGTAGTGTTTCGCCTATATTTCCTTCTATGTATTTTATGGTTTCAGGTCTTATGTCTAGTTCTTTAATCCATTTTGAGTTGATTTTTGTGTATGGTGTGAGGTAGTGGTCAAGCTTCATTCTTTTGCATGTAGCGACCCAGTTTTCCCAGCACCATTTATTGAACAAACTTTCTTTGCTCCAATGCATAGTCTTCGCTCCTTTGTCAAAGATTAGTTGACCATAAATCTGTGGGTTTATTTCTGGATTTTCTATTCGATTCCATTGGTCTGTATGTCTGTTCTTGTTCCAATACCATGCAGTTTTGATGATTATGGCTTTGTAGTATAGTTTGAAGTCTGGGAGTGTGATGCCTCCATTCCCTTCTTTTTTTTTCAGTAGAGCTTTGGCTATTCGGGGTTTTTGGTGATTCCATATGAATTTCATCAATAATTGTTCTATTTCTTTGAAGAATGCCATTGAGATTTTGATTGGAATAGCATTGAATCTGTATATTGCTTTTGGTAGGATGGCCATTTTAATAATGTTTATTCTTCCAATCCATGAGCAGGGGATGTCTTTCCATTTCTTTGTGTCTTCTTCTATTTCTTTTAACAGTGTTTTATAGTTTTCTTTGTATAGGTCCTTTACCTCTTTTGTTAGATTTATTCCCAAATATTTGATTTTTTTTGTTTCAATAATAAAAGGGTGGTTTTTTTGATTTCTTCTTCTTCAGATTTATTGTTTGTGTATAGGAAGGCTACTGACTTTTGCGTGTTGATTTTGTATCCTGCCACTTTACTGAATTGATTGATGAGTTGAATTAGTTTTTCTGTGG